CTCTATATAAAAATATTTTTGTCGGGAGAAGTTGAACTCTGATTATACATCTCTAAATTTTGTAGGCTTTCCCTTACTGTGATTCAAAAAAGCTTCCCTTTATAAATTGACAAAACGCTTCCTTTTTATTCAACTTTTACAAACACTAGATCTTTTCTCTGCGCTGCGCGCGGATTGTGTATTTTTTTTGTTTTTTTTTTAAATGTGTTTATACTATTATGTCCATTGAATTGTTTGAGTTTATATTTAATTTAATAAACTATATGTACTTTTATTAATTTATTATTCAAAAAATCTGTGAATATACACTAACTAAATATCATTAAGTTTTTTAATACCTAATCTTTTTTATTATCCAGTTTTGTACCTAAATTAATTATTCATTAGTTTTAAACTTAGTTTGATACCCAAATTATTTATAAGTTCAAATTAAAATTTAAAAAATCTTCAAAATTGATCTAAAAAATCTAAAATTTCTATTTTTATTCTAAGTTATAGGAATAAAGTATCTAAACTGTGGATAATATTTAATTCTATAATATTAGTTGTAGCTTACATTTAGAATTTAGTTTTCTTTCTGAAGTTTAAAACTTATTTATCTATCTAAATAGTTTCTAAATTTTAAATATTTTATTCACAACTTAGTTACTTTATTCCTAAACTTGAAATTAAATTTCAAAATTTTCTGATTTATTGTAATTTTAAAGTTTTTTAAAGTTTTGTTTGGTATTTATTTAAATTTTGATTAAAATGAGCATAGGTTGGGTAGTAAAATGAGCACATATATTAAATGAGCAAAATAATTAGTTGAAATATTAAACATGTATCAAATAAGTTTGGGTATTAAAAATCGTGAGAAAATTTAGTTGAAGTATTTTTATAGGATTTTCTCTTTATTATTTGGAATATGATTTTTTTGTCTTCACCACTTATTTTCTGTTATTTTAAAATAGGATTAAGATTTAAAATCTAGAAAGTGATTACCATAACTGACTCACCAAAGGATGAGAAACACATGTTGTTCTTCTTCTTTGCCACATACTCGGTATATTTTGTATTTGGTGTAATGTTGAGTTTTCTTTCTTCTTCGTATTTTAGTTTTTCTTTAAAAATAATTATTTGAAGATTCAAATAATGGCTATAGATTATAAGTAAAATGTTTTGTTATTGAGGTGATTGCTAATATATTTGTACTAGTTTTAATTAGTATTTAACTATATCATATATTAATGCTCTTAAAGTTTAATAAAAATAAGAAGATTTTTGTTTTCGTTCTTTAATGAGTAATAATAACTGTCTGAAAGTAGCAGATTCATCAACCCATATAAACAAACTAAAAATATAGAATCAGGATAAATTTTATTCAATAAGGATTTTTTCGCTCTTTACTTTGTTTATCAATTGAAAAGTAAATAGTTATTATCGCATTATTCATGGATGTTTTGTTAATATTATTTCTTGATTATTTAATTAAGCTCTTATATTGATTCTGATGAATATTTTATAGTCATGAATAAAATATTTTAGTAGATTGAATATTTTGATATTTACAATAGATAAATTTTCTTTCTTTACAATTATAGATATAGAATTATGTAGATTTATATTTGTTAAAGTAATAAAATATCAATATTAAAAATTCCATAATCAATCTATTGATTAGACCATAATAAATAAACACACAGCTTTCACCAATTTACGATGTCATTTTCCTCTACACCAAAGAATTCACAGTATAAAAAGAATGAATAAGACAAAGTTTAATATCTTATGCTATGAAAAATAAATCTCGAAATCACGCGCGGATTATATCTTTCAATATTTTAGTTTCTAAAAATTTGCTTTAATTAATCTCTATAAATCATGTTTTCTTTAAAATTTAAATATAATTTTCTTAATACAAAATGGAGCTGTAATTATATTAACAATCTGTTTGTTAACTATTGGACAAAAGAGTTTTGAATATATTGATGTACACAATTCCTCCATAGATGGATAGTGGTGGTTTATAAAATATTATGTTTTGACATTAAAAAACAAAATAATCTAATTATGATATGTTGCTTCTGCAAGTGAATATTATGCCTCCTCCTCTCAGCTTAAAGCCACCTTTTTTTCCTGAGAGAAGTACCCAATGAATTAATCTTTTGTACTTGTACGCATCTATCACTAATTTACAATCAAACTCTAAACAAAATCTATCTCTTAGACCATATACTATAAGCAACAAAACACATCTACTCTATTAAAATAGAGTCATTCTTTTTATCTGGTGATACAAGTCGTCATTTAAATTTGGACCCTTTCTAGAATGTTACAAATAATATAAGTCATATAATTGATTGAACCGTATTACTGAAATTAAACCAACACAATTAATGTAAAGAAACGACCTTAATGTAAACGACCTTAATGTAAACTACCTTCAAAATACGGCAGGTATCTATGTGTATACCAAAAACACATATTTTCTCATACAAATATGGAATGTTCTAAAAGAATATATATCATCAAAGTATTGAATATTGAAATCTACTAATTATACTTAAATTAAATCAGTGGTTATTTATGGAATATAGTCTTGGGCTTACTTTTGTTTTTTGAACAAATTATATAGTTTGATTTTTGGGCTTCGTATTAAGAAAAAAACTCCAAAAACATTGAATAAACTTTCACCTTAAAAGATCAAAAAATCAATTATTATTTTCGGACCCAAAAGATATTTAATATTTTTAACAAAACAAAATTATCTATTATTAATCATTTATTTACATCATGTACTTTAAAACATGTTAATATATTTTTTTATTTTAAATAACAATAACTTTTTGGATAAATTTCAATGGTAACTTTTAAATAATTTATTGTTTTATTTTTCTTAAATAATTTACTGATTAAAAAAAATGTAAAGCAAAACCAAAAACCAAATCTAAAAACTAAAATCAAAAACCAAAAGCTGAAAACACATGTTATATATTTTTGCTTTGTTTATTTACAAAATAAACTATTTCAATATTTTTAAAAAAAAATTTGTTATCATCTTTTTAGTTTTAAATTAGATGTTCGATTATTTGAGATTTGTTTGTTGGTAATATTAGTTCAAACTAACTCAGCGGGTTTAAAAATTAAAAACCCAAACCAAAACCTGAAAATGAAAGTAGAAACTTAAAAACTAAAAACCAAAACCAAAATTTAAAAATAAAAACTGAAACTAAAAACTAATGAAAAACAATCATCACCACAAATTTTGGTGAACTGATTTTATATCAAAATATTTTTTAAATTAAGACAAAGCCCAATTATATAAATTTATAATCACAAAAATTGTACGCGTTTCAAAATCTAGTTTCATATAAAATATAAAGCAATGGCGTGACCACATTTACAGTATCGTCAGCTTGATTGCTTAATTTAAAACAAACTAGATTTTGACCCGCGCTTGAAAGCGCGAAAATTTTTTATGAATAAAAATTTATATAATTGGGGTTTTGTCTTAGTTTAAAGAATATTTTGATATAAAATCAGTTCACCTAAAGTTGTGGCGATGATTATTTTTCATTAGTTTTTAGTTTTAGTTTTTATTTTTAGATTTTGGTTTTTGGTTTTTAGTTTTTAAGTTTCTACTTTTCATTTTCAGTTTTTGATTTGGGTTTTTAATTTTTAAACCCGCTGAGTTAGTTTGAACTAATATTACCAACAAATAATCGAACATCTAATTCAAAACTGAAAAGATGACAACAAATTATAAAAAAAAATTGAAATAGTTTATTTGTAAATAAACAAAGCAAAAAAATATAATATGTATTTTTAGCTTTTGGTTTTGGATTTTAGTTTTTAGATTTGGTTTTTGGTTTTGCTTTACATTTTTTAATCAGTAAACTATTTAAGAAAAATAAAACAATAAATTATTTAAAATTTACCATTGAAAATTATCAAAACAAAGTGATTGTTATTTAAAATAAAAAATATATATTAACATGTTTTAAAATACATGATTTAAATAAATGATTAATAAAAGATAATTTTGTTTTCTTAAAAATATTAAATACCTTTTGGGTCTGAAAATAATAATTGATTTTTTGATCTTTTAAGGTGAAAAGTTTATTCAATGTTTTCAGAGTTTTTTTCTTAATACTAAGCTCAAAAAACAAACAATATAATTTGTTCAAAAATAAAAGTAAGCCCAAGACTATATTCCATAAATAACCATTTTTTAATTTAAGTATAATTAGTAGATTTCCATATTCCATATTTTGATGATATATATTCTTTTAGAACATTCCATATTTGTAGGAGAAAATATGTGTTTTTGGTATATACATAGATACCTGCCATATTTTGAATGTAGTTTACATTAAGGTCGTCTATTTACATTATTTATGTTGGTTTAATTTAATTAAGACGGTTCAATCAATTATATGACTTATATTATTTGTAACATTCTAGAATGGGTCCAAATTTAAATGACAACTTATATCAGTAGATAAAAATAATGACTCTATTTTAATAGAGTAGATTATATAGGGAATTAACATATAGTAAGTAGTATAGTAGGTGGTTAGTGGAAATGAATATAAATGTTTTTGTAAGCTACCAATAACTTAAGGAAAAATATACATATTGGGGCTTCGTATTCACATTTTACTTAATGAACACATAAATTTCAAGAAACATGAAAAGCTCATATTCATTATGGACTCATGGTACATAAATCTCAGTTCATCACAAAACACAAACCCGAACAGTCAAAACATAAAGGACCTTTATAGACAAAAACTCAAATCTCAAGTTCAGTAGATTGTTGTCTATTATGACTGTGTTGTCAAAGATGATGAACATCACAATACGTCATCATCGTAAGAAGCTGTTCGGACGGAAGTGTCTTAAAGGGTTCTGTCGCAGCAACTCTGTTTCTCTACATTTTTTTTAAAGAAAACTTTGTTAAATACACAAGTTATATGATAATAATTTAATTGTTAAGGGATTCTATGCTTACTTCTTTATCTCACGGCCATCGTTAAGGGGTAAAACGTTTGATGATGATGAGATGGTTTCATTCTTCTTTTCTCTACTCCGTCACTGCAGTTTCATAATCAGAAGTAATAACGAAACATCTTTGCCATATTGTGAAAACATTAAAGTCTTAACTTACTATGTACATTCTTCTTCTACATCGAGAAAAACCTCAAAGGAGGGAGCAGAGGCGGCAGCTGTTCTCACAATGGGTTTCTGAGGAACCTATGATATCAATGCATGTAAGTGATCAATTTACAGAGAGAAAATTTAGTTTTAGAGGTTAAAATAGAAGCAAAACCTTGAATGCTGTCCATTTTCCACGTAAGGCATTGTTCTCTTTGTTCTTCTCCGCTCTACCTCCAAGCATAAGCCAGGAACCAAACTATGGTTTTGACTTGTTCAACTCTATTTGATCCCCCGATGTAGTGTCCTTGTATATAGCCAACGGTGCCTTGGATGAGCTCCACAAACCAGAGTGAGTTGCGCAAATAAGTTTTGGTGAAGTTTATATATATATATATATGCATAAAGCGAGAAATACTGCTTACTGATTCGGCTTTGTTCTCTTGGCTTGTGGTCCTAAAGCCTGCCTTCCTGTATCTATACAAAAACATTGTCATGTAAAAGAGCTTAGCAGAAAACATTTAATAAAACTCCCAAAGTAATTAGTGGGACTCACTATTTTTAGCTCCCCTAGACAATAAAGTCCCAAAGCTTCTTGCCGGTAAGTCACTCTCCTTTGCCTCCTGCTGGTAGTTAAAAAACATCAAGCATCATGTAGAAGAAAACTTAGGGCATAGATAAACATACAAACAGAAGAAACTTCTTACATCATCAACTGTTTTGGACCTTCTTATTGTTCTAACCATGAACTTCTTGTAAGCATCGTTCAACTTCTCCACAGGCTTTGCATTTCTACACAAAATTTCACTCTCTCAAAAATCCATCTGACAAAATCCAACACATAGAATCCAAAATGAATGAAGACTTACCTAGAGATGCCGAGATTGAAGATCTCATTAGCCGCCTTCACCTTACCCTTAAACTCCATGTGCAAGGCGTAATCTATGTAGTACAAAGCATGTGAGATAAGAATAGAAAAACATATACTTTGTGAGATAAGAATCAACATTAACTCCATCAACAGTAAGAGCGCTGCTCTCCACACCAGAGATACTCTCCAATTCTTCGATTTGTCTCCTGATCTTCTGCGAAAGTCCTTCAACAAAGCTATTTGATTGCACAAATCTGATGATGACGGGGGTGAGAAAAACTCTAAAAGAACAAAATAAAAAAAAAGGAAGGGGAAGAGAAGAGAACCTACCGGTTTGTTGCAGAGAGAAGTGGAAGAAGAAGCTCTGAAGTCGATCGGCTCAGCCCCTCCATTTTCTGTTTGGTTGCTTGGAATTAAGATTGCTGGAGACAGTGGTTTTGCTGTTGATGTTCATAGCGATTATAGTTTGTGGGATTGAAGAGGTTTATGAGGGGAAAAATATATAAAGAGAATCAGAGGGAGGAAGGCGAAAGAAGAATCCATTAATGGGTTTAAAGAGTGTATAGGAGTGGGGAGGGAATTGATTGTTCTTAGTAAAGGATCAAGAAACGGATGAAACGAAGGAGCCGAAGAGAAAGGAATCGCCATTCAATTTTGGCGAAATTAGGGTTTGCTCATCGCGGAAAGGGGAAAGACGACGTAGGCGGCAGATGGGCTTCACGGGCTTCTCAAATCCGAACGGTGCCAGGCTGTAAAAAATTGATGCCCAATTGACACTGGCGACTCTAACGTGGCGAAATTCTGCTCTCCTATTAGTTGATTATAATTGTCGACGTGGCATAGCTCACAGACCCTTATATCGGGATTTTAATAGTGTTAGATATGTTATCAAATTTGTATAGGTGAATAATAATTTTGAGAATTTTTTTTGGGTAGTCATTTTTAGTTTATTTTCAAAAAAATAACCCTTAACAAGGAACATGACTAAAATATCTATTATATTAAATGAGAAGTCATGACTTATCATTCATGTGTGATTTTTTATAAAATGGACTATCTACTAGAGTTGGTCACATTATATATTTAATCATTAATAACATTCATTAGATTCATTAATAACATTTATTGGGCTTATTATAAATTTTTATTGGGCTAATAAAAATTAGATAATCCATTGAATTTATAAATAGTATAATAAAATACATGTTTAAATTAAACTTATATAATTTAATATTATAATAGTATAAGTTAATTAGTTATATATTTTCGATGTTAACTTTAAAAATTATATAGTTTATTTTTAAAAATGACAAAAATATTATTTTCTAACAATAACTAATCTATATTATATAATAATTAATCATCATTTTCGATATACACACCTTATATAATATATACCAATTTAGAAGTTAAACAAAATGTTAATATAAAAATAAATGAAAACAAATACCCGCGCGGTTGCGCGGGTTGAGATCTAGTTTTTTTATTAAAGGGTTAATATGCACTTATATCCATAGATTAATTAATCTAGACTTAGGATTTAGAGTTACGGGGTAAGGTTTTGGGTTTAGAGTTTCAAATTTTCAAAAAATAAAAAAATAAATATTACAAAATTCAAAATGAAAATACTATTTTGATCATTTTATTTTCTGAGGATAATTTTGTGACAAAACTTAAAAATGACTATTTAAAAGAATTACCTTAATATTTTATATACTAAGTGTGTAGATATGATTATGGATATCAACCATATTGGGAATTACTCATTATAAATTTATAATGTGTAAATATGGTTATGGATACCAAATGAGCTAAAAGAAGTGAAAAGACTATTACAAAAAGTCTCAAGGAGAATTCTGATAAGAATGACAAAATTATTATTTGTCCTTATCAACTTCGATTGGTACTTATATACGTAAAATAAAATTCAATATTTTTAATGTTACAAATCATTGAATTACACATACAAACATAACAATATCTTCGTAATATAAATTTTCTACATATTAATGTATATAATATATGCTTTGAGTTTTGAATGGTTAAGGATTTTGTTTAATCATATTTCTCTGTTATGTTGAAAAGGTATATTTATCTTATCAAAAGAGACTACCAAAAATAAAAGAAGAATGAAACGAACAATATGTTCAGCAACATGTTTGTGATGTTAGTTATTAATTAGCTTCACCAAGTCTTGTATCTTGTTACGAAAAGCAAGTTAAGAGCATCATTATCCCAAACTTTTAGTGGGTGTCTTATGTTAATTTTGATTTAAAACAAACCCAAAAACACAAATTAACATAAGGGGCATATCCTATTTAAGGGAAGGAAGAAACGGTTCTTGATGACACGTGTGAGAAAATGAGAGGAGAAAAGAGAGGTGTCTTCGCTAACTCGGTTATGTTCTTTCTCGATCTGTCAAAATCTCTCTCTCTCTTTGAATCCAAAACGGCGATTCTATCACTTTCCTTGGCTCCTCGACAATACGGCGATTCTCTCTCTCGCCATGACTCCTCTCCGAAACGGTGATTCTCTCTCTCTCTGTGGCTCCTCGACAAAACAAAGACGGACCTCTCTCTCTTGGTGGCTGTTGTCGAGGAAGGAAAATGATGATTCTCTCCCTCTCAGTGGGTCTCTCTCGACAGAGACGTACCGCTCTCTATGTGGCTCTCCTCGAATCGAAAGGCAAAGCTATGTTTTAGATTATGCATGTCTTAGATTAGGCTTCTTCTTGTTCTGATCGCAAGTTTTATTTGTTTGTCGGTTCGATTTTGTCCCTCGATGGCTCTCCTCGACAGCGACAGAGCTCTCTGTCGGTGGCTCTCCTCGAATTGCTCAGGTAAAGGCTATATTTCATGTTCTTCAATCATGCATGTCTTAGATTGTGCTTTGATCAATTGTGATTTGTTTGTTTGTTGCGATTCTTTTGGGTATTTAGGTGTAAAATATTTCCTCTTTGACACATTTTTGATTTGTTTGTATCATTCTCATTTGTTTGGTATATATCAAGTATTTTGTGTCTCGTTTTGTTTTTGTTAATTGTTTTTCTTTCGATTTGCTGAACAATTGTGATTTGTTTGTTGCAGGTTTATCAATTTTGGTTTCTTTCTGTTGATACTCTTTTTTTTTTTGTTTCTGTCTTTGTGTGGTGAGATGGAGGGATCAAATCACGTTTAATATGTTTTGTGGAAAGAGACATGAGGAAGCAGAGTTCCAACAAAGGACTACAATTGCAATACAGGTTATTGTTACTCTTTCATGTGGTCGGAAATGAAATGAAATGAATTGACTTTGCTTCTGTGATGAATTGAATCGAGGGTAATTGATGCTTTGGTTAGATTATGGTTGTGTATGGTTATATAGAAAATCGAAGGTCAAGTGTGATGAATGAGTTAGATAAATGCCTAGTCATTTTAGTTGGTTGGTTGTGATGAATGCCTTGGTTGGTTTTGATGAATGAGTTTTTAATTCTATTTTAAAATCATCTTTCCGACTTTCTTTTAAACACATGAGTTTTTTACTTTACAACGATGATTAAGATAGGTAGTCGTGTTGGTTGGGTGTGTCGAATGTGCTTTCTCTTTCGCTCTCCTCCTTCTTGAATATGTTGTAAACTGTGTTTCTCTTCTAATTCCAACAGATTCCCATAAGTTATTTATCTCTTTTTTTACTTCGAAAATGCATTTTAATCTATTTCAGGACTCTTAAAACTTTGTTGAACTACTTAATAGTTAACAAAATGTTGTCTTTAGTAACGTAGCAGATAGGGTTTCACTCACGTCATCGCAAGTTCCTTTCTTAGGCAGTCAATGTGCCGAAGATTCAAACATTGGTGACGAGCCTTGTGCAGAGCGTAAGGAAAGAAGGACGTGGACACCAACAAATGATGTTGTGCTAATCAGTTCGTGGTAAACACAAGCAAATATCATGTTGTAGGGAATGAGCAAAGGTCAGCCGTTTTTTGGAAAAGAATTACAGCATACTTCTCGACTAGTCCTAAGTTAGCTGGCTGTAAAAAAAAAGAAGCATCTCCCTGTAAGCAACGTTGGCACAAGATAAATAATTTGGTTTACAAATTTTGTGGAGCTTATGAATCTGCAACCAGAGAGAAAAGTAGTGGTCAGAATGAGAATGATGTTCTCAAACCAGCCCACGAAATATTCTTCAACAACCATGGAAAGAAGTTCACCCTTGAACATTCTTGGAATGAGCTTCACAATGACCAGAAGTGGTGTGACCTCTCTACAACTAAAACTGAAAGCAGCTCCAAAAAGAGGAAGTGTGAGGATGGTTCACATTCAGCAACCTCTCAAGTAAATGAAACTGATGCTGCTGCAGATTATCATGGAACGAATCTTCCCCCGACTGTTAAGGCATCAAAAACCAATGAGAAGAAGCCGATTCTTGAGGGGAAGGAGCTGGTTGAGTTTCAGACCATGTGGAGCATGCATCAAGAAGCAGAATTTGGTTATGAAGGAGAAGCTGTCGAAGATGAAGCTACTTGAGAGTCTCATTGCAAAACAACTACCGCTGGCTGATTATGAAGAAGCACTGAAGAAGAAGCTCATTAATGAGTTGCTTTGTTGGTTGTTCTGGTTATGTTTTATGTACTTTTTTTATTGCCCTAAGTGTTTCTGCTTAAGTTGCTCTAAGTGGTTTTGTTTTAGTTTCTCTCGTTTATGTTCGTTGAAGTTAATGTGTTTCTTGTTCTCGTAATTTTAATGGAGTTAATGTTCTTGTTATTGTTAACTTCGTGAAAGAGTTGTTAATCGTGATCTCGTTGATGCAAAAGGTTATATATCACTTTGAAAAAATAAGCTAATGTTTGTTTTCTATGATTGTGCAAGCTCTGCGTCACAAGATGTTAACAAAAACGAGGAGGAAAATGACATGTCTTGAGGTCTTGTCGTCTCGTGGTCTTGTCGTCTTGTGTAGATATTAGGAGGTTGTAGTCTTGTACTCATGCATCACGGAGAATCACATGTCTTGTAGTTTTGTGTCACGGTTGTACTCTTGTAGTTTTGTGTTTTGTTGCATAATTTGTTTGAGTCTTTGTGTCTTGTATTTGTGTCTATATAAAGAAGTCTTATATGCTTTAGTTTATTTTTGTATCTTTTCACCTTCTTTATATAATTTTGCTTGCATGCAGTTTCAGTTTATCTTTTGTATCTTGTATTTGCGTCACATTTTATTCACAAAAAGTCATAATCTCAACTTCTCACAAAACAACTTCCATTATCAACAAACATTTTATTCATCAAACAAGTTCCATTCTCACATTCTATCATTCTCATCAAACTTTTTATTCACCAAATTCAAAAGCCATTCTCACGTTCTATCATTCTCTTCAAACCTTTTATTCACCAAAGTCAAAATCTCTCATTCTCACCAAAACTATCTATATTTTGATTATATATGGAATTTTCTTCTCATAACATTTTTGAGGGATCAGATGATGAAATATTTGATCAATATTTGATCAATATTTTGATCAACATTTTGATTAAACATTGGAGAATTTATCCATTAACTATGGTGATCAAGACGAAGAAAGGAGAAAAAGAAAAAAACGAGTTTATATCGAAAGAAATTGTGAAGAAGGCCATGCTCATTTATTGAATGATTCTTTCAGTGAAACTCTAACGTACCTAGAAAATTTATTCCGACGATGTTTTAGAATGAACAAGACATTGTTCATGCACATTGTTGATCGACTCTCCATCGAAGTTCAATACTTTCAGCAAAAGAATGATGGTCTCGGAAGGCTTAGTCTCTCCCCCCTTCAAAAGTGTACTGAAGCCATTCGTGTCTTGGCATAAAGTTATGCGGCTGATTCGGTCGACGAATACCTCCGGCTCGGTGAAACAACAACTCGGTCATGTGTGCAAAAATTTTTGGAATAATATATTTATTCGACGATGAGTACTTAAGAAGAACAACACCAGCTGACCTTCAACATCTACTTGATATTGGAGAGCATCGTGTATTTCTCGGGATGATAGAAAGCATGGATTGTATGCATTGGGAGTGGAAGAATTGTCCCACCACTTGGAAAGGCCAATATTCTCGTAGTTTGGGTAAACCAATAATTGTTTTAGAAGCGGTTGCTTCGTATGATTTCTGGATATGACGTGCATTTTTTGAACCTCCAAATACCTGATGACATAATAAAAGGTCAAGCTACTTAAGTCACTTTCTCTGTCAATGGAAGAGAGTATCATATGGCTTACTATCTCACCGATGGTATTTATCTGAAATAAGCAATTTTTATCCAATCTATTCCATTCCCACAAGGTACGAAAGAAATTTTATTTTCTCAACCTCAACAAGCTGTTCGATAAAATGTCGAGCGTGCTTTTGGAGTCTTGCAAGCTCGATTTGCCATTGTTAAAAATCCAGCACTGTTTTGGGATAAAATAAAAATTGGGAAGATAATGAGAACATTTATCATATTCCATAATATGATAGTAGAAGACGAACGAGATGTATACACTCAATTTGATGTTTCGGAGTTCCAATCAGGAGAAGACAACGGAAGTTCATATGTCGATCTCACGTACTATACATATATCCCTACAAATATCACCAATATGATGGGTATTCGAACAAGAATTCGTGATAGACAAATGTATCAACAACGAAAATATGATTTGCTTGAACATATATGGCGTAAATTTAGTCGTGATGAAGAAAACAACTGAGCTCAGATGCTTCTTTCAAATTATTCTCGTTTATTTTACTAATCTTTGTTTTTATGTTTTTATTTCAAAATCTATGTTAAAATTTTTTTTTCTTACTATTTTTTATTTAATAAATTTTAAGTTTAATATTTTTTTAAGAATCTTCAATTAAGAGACTTGCATTGGAGCACATACGTATTCAGATCTCTTAACGAAATCTCTTTAACACACATTTATTGCTTAAAAGTATTAAAAAATAACTAAAAAGTCCTAAATGGGTAGGTACTTGGGATAATGATGTTCTAAACATTGTTTAAAATTATTTTTTAAATGTAATACTGTTCCCCCGCGGGTCTGAATCCTAGTACTTTTAAAACAATACACACATCCAAAGTAAGCAATTTACTATAACAAGTTCACAGTTCAAGATTTGTATGTAACGAATAACCAAAACTTTCCTGTATTCTCTCTTTTACGCCAATATTTATATATACCAAACAAATCAAGAACCAAATTCAATGCAACTTCAAACCATACAAAAAATAGGTAAGTTACAAAAATAGAAAAACTAAAAACAACCAGACATACGTATAAGGAAATAAAAACCATTAGCCTTTACTTGGTAACCTCTTAAGCCATGAAATAGTCGCAAGCCTTTCCTTCTTCTTCGTTTCTAATTGCTTTCGACGAAGATCTATTGTAGAGAAGTCTACCTCGTAGACTACTCTCTCAAATTTGATTCCATATCATCTTTACCGACATCAAATATGCGTCTCTCTCGTAGTCTTACACCTTTCGTTCTCCTCTTTGTTGTTGCACCAGCTGTATCTGCTGGTGTCGCTATCTTGAGAACCGATTATTACCAAAAAACATGCCCTGATTTCAACAAAATCGTGCGTGAAGCCGTTATAGCCAAGCAAGGTCAACAACCGACAACTGCGGCTGGGACACTCCGTCTCTTCTTTCATGACTGTTTTCTTGAAGGCTGTGATGCGTCAGTTTTGATAGCGACCAATTCGTTTAACAAAGCGGAACGTGACGATGATCTCAACGACTCCCTCCCAGGAGATGCTTTTGACATTGTTAATCGCATCAAAACAGCTCTCGAGCTGTCTTGTCCCGGTGTTGTATCATGCGCTGATATATTAGCGCAGGCTACACGTGACCTTGTCACGATGGTAGGAGGACCTTACTTCGATGTAAAGCTTGGTCGTAAAGACGGACTCGAATCCAAAGCCCATAAAGTACGAGGAAACGTCCCCATGCCAAACCAGACGGTCCATGACATCCATGGGATGTTCAAGAAAAATGGGTTTAGTTTACGTGAGATGGTAGCATTAAGTGGAGCGCACACAATTGGATTTTCTCACTGCAAAGAGTTTAGTGACCGGCTCTACGGATCAAAAGCCGATCCAGAAATCAACCCGCAATTTGCAACCGCCCTTAAAAAACTATGCAAAAACCATACAGTGGACGACACAATTGCGGCGTTTAACGACGTGATGACTCCGGGGAAATTCGATAACATGTACTTTAAGAACCTTAAACGAGGGCTTGGCCTATTAGCTTCCGACCACCTCCTTATTAAAAACAATAGAACGAAACCGTTCGTTGAGCTTTACGCAACTGACGAGAAAGCATTCTTTGAAGATTTCGCTCGTGCGATGGAGAAAATGGGCACGGTTGGTGTGAAGGGCGATGGAGAAGGAGAAGTGAGGCGTAGGTGCGACCACTTCAACAATCTCAACGTATAAGAAAAATCACAAAATAAAAAATCTATTATTATATTTCTGCACTTTTTTTTGCGGGGGAAAAGGAGGAATTGGGAGGAAGAAAGGTTTCATTGATATATTTATGTTTAAAATATGTATTATAATCATAATTGTGTAACAATTCAAGATTGGGTGTTTCTAATTTTCATGAAAATGCAAATTGTTATATTTGAAGTGTACAAGTAAAAGATATGTATTTATCAAAAAAAAAAGTAAAAGATATGTATTTATCTTTTTGAAAATATTCTTTAAATTTAAAAGTAAGAGAAAACAAATAATACATACTAAGCTAAGACTTTAGTGGTTGAGACGATGGGAGACAGTAGATTTGAAGCAATTGGCATGGATCCTACCATTCCAGAGAGATAAAGGGTTAGCTGCCAGACCGTTAACCATAGTTTCCAAGTGCCATCAAGGGAGCTGAAGGGATTTCATTTCTGCGAGAGAGGTGATCCAATCTCGAGGTAAGGATAGATGTAGTCTGTGATCCATGCAACCAATCGATGTTTTGTTGGTAGGTCGGTTGAAGGTGATGAGCCAATAACTACTTTATTTAAAACAATCTATGTCTAAGAGGCTTGTCTAAAACGCCTTTTAGAACACTGCTAAAACGTGATCAGATCAATGCAGAAGTTAACTGTTTTGTTGTTTAAAATGCGTGTATTTCTTGTACTTTTTAATGACAATTTGAGTTTATATGATTCAAAATTAAACTTATTAAAACACAATATATATTTCGTACTCTAAATTTAAAATATAATATCTTATTTTCAATTTTATTATTAAAATAAAAATAAGAAAAATATTAATATCATAATATTATTAAATAACTATATTTTAGCATATTTTTATCAATAAAATATCTTTTTGTTTAAATTTAATGAAAAAATGAATTAAATCCTTGCTTTAAATATGAATCTCATATTAATAAATAATCATGTATATATTATTATTTTTATTATAAAATTTGGATATAAGTATACTAATATATTTTAATCAATCGGTATCTTCGGTTTATTTGGTATGATCGGTTTATATACCTAATCATATTCATATACCGTGGTTTCTTATAATTAACATCCATTTGGTTTATTTGGTACTACCAAATCCATATCATTTTCTCTATTTCGATTCGGTTTGGTTTTAATTGGTTCAGTTTTATCAGACTGAAGACCCGTCCTACTTCCTTATCATAAAAAATATATATAAGCTTAAGTGTAACTGTTAGTCCAAAAAAAAAACTTAAAGAGTAACTGTTTATTTTTTCTATATATCTATTTTATTAAAACAGAAGTACCAATAAAAATTATTCCTTAGTTTTCAAAGTTATATACAATTTTAGCCATTAAGAATTTAATTAAATTACCTATTTTAATGCTTGTCTTTTTCAAGTCAAATTATGTCTTTTTCTTGAATAAATTCTAGAAATAAAGCCCAAAATAGCACTAATTCAAGTTTTTGTCCACAAAGTAGCATCCAAGGTCCAAAATCACAAAATAGGTTTCATTAAAAGGGGAGAATTACTTTTATACCCCTTTTTTGACTAACTAAAAAAAAAGCTCATTCGAAATCTGTAGCCGTTGTCTCCTCTTCGACGTCCGTCATCTCCTCTTCGACGTCCTTCGTCTCCTCTTCGCCGTCCGTCGTCTCCTCTTCGCCGTCCGTCGTCTCCTCTTCGCCGTCCGTCGTCTCCTCTTCGCCGTCCGTCGTCTCCTCTTCGCCGTCCATCATTTACTATTGTGTCCTTATCGCTGTTCATCGTGCATCTTCTCGATTCGCCGTCGTCTTCTCTGCATCAGCCTTGATCCCTCGTCTCTGCGTCATCATTGATCCGTCGTCTTCTTCGTCTCTTCATCTCATTCTCTGGTGTTTCTGATTTGATCAAGGTATCAAATATTTCATTTTCGTTATACATCATTGGGGTATTGATTTGTAAGTTTCTGGTTGTTTGATGAATGAACAGGTCTAATTTTCAAACATTCCTTAATTATAAAAATTTTCCTCTTGCTTACATTTTGAATCAGGCTGTTAAGGTTTAGGGTTGTGAAGATTCTATAATTAGAAGAATTTGTTTGGAGCTTCTTGTCTCAGAGGCAATATAATCTGAATTTGTATCTTATTTGTTGTTCTCTTTTGATTGAAGTTGGTTTGTAGCACAATGGAAGTTTTTGTGTCTGTGGATAATGGAGCTCAAAAGAATCTCTCCAGTGGGAGTTTAATGTTGATCTGAATAGAAATGCATCTTTTATTTTTATAAAAGAAGATGATCAGTATGAAGATTTGATGAAGATTGTCTCTGAAGATTTTAGTGTTAAAGTGGAAGAAATCAGTTTGAGTTATGGTATTTTGTTGGACATGAAAAGTATTGTTGAAGGCTTCCCCCCCAATCTCTATAGGTAATTCTCGTCATCTCAGAATTTTCATCGGCAAGATTAGAGCATTTGATGAAACCTATCGGTTATGTGTTAAGGTTTGTATAATTTTTTCAACTAAATTTTTCAAGATAGTTTTCCTAATCATGTATTAAGCCTTCCAGAACGGTTGACTTTTTGTAGGTTAATACTGATTCAGCTAGCTGTAACACTCAAGCTTTTGATACATTTGCTTCTCATGTTCCATTAAATTATACTCCAGTGTTTCGTTCTTCTGTGCAGAGAAAAAAAAAGGTAAATCGTTTTCTATTTTGTTTTTGGTTTGTTTTTGTTTATATGATTTCTTAGAATGTTCAGGATAGCTTTCCTAATCATGTATTAAGCTTTCCAAAAAAACTCGACTTTTGCAGGTTAATACTGATCCAGCTAGCTATAATACTCAAGCTTCTGATACATTTGCTTCTTATGTTCCATTGAATGCCACTCTATTGTTTTGTTCTACTGTTCAGAGAGAAAAACATGTACATCGTTTTCTATTTTGTTTTTGGTTTGTTCTTGTTTGTATGATTTATTAGAATGTTCAGGATAGCTTTCCTAATCATGTATTAAGCTTCCAAAACAACTCGACTTTTGCAGGTTAATACTGTTTCAGCTAGCTGTAACACTTAAGCTTCTAATACTTTTGCTTCTCATGTTCCATTGAATGCTACTCCTGTGTTTTGTTCTACTGTGCAGAGAGAAAAACAGGTACACTGTTTTCTTTTTTGTGTTTGGTTTGTTTTTGTATGATTTTCTTTTTACTTAGACTTTTCAGGATAGATTTCCTAATCAAGTACTAATCCTTCCAGAACAACTTGACTTTTGCAGAGTCTTCTTTATGAAGGTGTTTCTACAGTTCCTCTGAATGCTCTTCCGGATTTTAGTCCTGTCCATATTGGACTTTCACCAACTACAAGAGGAGTTGGTGATATTAAGGTGAATAGCTATTTTAAGACCAAGGGAGAGTTAATGTTGAGGATGAAGAAATAGGCTCTAGAGTGAAAGTTTGAGTACAAGACTGTTTCTTCTAACAAGTCAAGAGTGATATTGCAGTGTGTTGATGACAATTGCACGTGGAGGATGCGTGCTACCAAGCTACCTAGTTCATATTTTTTTGTTGTTAAAAAGTATGTTCATGAGTATACATGCGATACAACACACATGAAGGCCAACCATAGACAAGCATCTGCAAAGTTGTTGGGTTCTTTGATATGCAGCAATAATGGAGAAAAGAAGGAAGGTCTCAAACCGAAATTGATCATTGAACAGGTCAGGATTCAGCATGGTGTTCGCATCAATTACAAACAAGCTTGGAGAGTGAAAGAAGAAGCTCGGTTTTTGGTTAGAGGGACTCCTGAAGACAGCTATTACAATCTATTGAGGTGGTTGTACAAAGTGTCAGAGACAAACCCTGGATCGTTAACTTATCAACATGTGGACGCTGCTCGAAAGTTCTTGTATGCATTTGTGGCTTTTGGTCCATCGATAAGGGGATTCTCATTGATGAGGAGAGTTATTGCAGTAGATGGTACATTTCTGAAGGGAAAATTTAATGGGACTTTACTTGCAGCTTGTGCTCAAGACGGGGATTATCATCTATATCTTCTCGCTTTTGCAGTGGTCGACGCAGAAAACACTGCCTCTTGGAAATTGTTTTTTATAGGTTTGAGTCAGAAGATTCCGGACGCTTCGGATCTTGTTTTTGTATCAGACAGGGCTAACTCCATTGCTTCAGCGCTGGAGGATGTTTATCCGTTATCTCATCATGGAATCTGCAGGATCTATCTGCTCCGCAACGTCGCTCCTACATATTCGAAGACTGGGTTGCTACCTCTGGTGGAAAGCGCTGCTGATGCCTACACTTGTCATGAGTTCTGGTCAATCTTAAGGGAAATAAGGATAAATGTCCTGAATTGGCTAAGTATCTGGAAGATTCGGATTTTAGGAAGTGGGAACGATGCTTTGCGCCTGCGAACAGATACAATATCCTGACTACTAACATTGCAGAGTCTCGCAATTCTATGTTGAGACTTCTTCGTGAGTTCCCACTGATCTCTCTACTTGAAACGATTAGATTGACACTCACCACTTGGATTTTTGAGCGACGCGAAGCGGCTGTGAAACATAAGCACCTGGTTACTCCAAAAGTAGTGCAGAAAATGGTATCCAGGTTTGCGGCTGCAATGTTGCTGAATGTGTATCAAGTTGATCAAAGCGAGTTTGAGGTAAAGGATGAGACTATGAATTATGTTGTTGATTTGGAGAAGCGGCATTGCACTTGTAATGTTTTCGACATTGACAAGATACCATGCATTCATGCAATTGCTGCTGCTAAGTATATTAAGAGAGATGAAAACCATTACGTTGATGTCTCTCACATGACCAAAACGTGGGCTAAAACTTATGCCAAAAGCATACACCCTGGTGGAGAGTTGTCAACGTTCATCTATCCAACAAATATTTATGAACTGTCTTGCCCACCTCCAGCAACCAAAAAGAGAAGTGGACGTCCTCCTACAAAGAAAATCAGATCCATTGGCGAGTTTGGGGTTCCAGGATCTAAATCTCAGTCTCACAAGTGCAGCAGATGTAGCATAGGAGGGCACAACAAGAGCACATGCCAAAGGCCTATAGGATGAAGTTCACTATTCATCTTTGCTATATTTTTTTTCATATCCATGTTTTTTACATTTTTTATTGATCATTTTCTGGATGTTGGTTATTTGATTGTTACGTGATATGGATCAAAACATATATATATATAAGTATGAACCCTTTCCTGAATAAGTATGATGTCTTCCAATTTTTGTAATATACAACCTAGTTTTTAATGCATTTTTTTTTCTCTAAACATCACAAAATTTGAAACTTACCTCATTAAATCCCATTCCTTAGCCCTTAATCGCATTTCATTTTTTTAAGTTTAAACTTTCCTACAAATTGGAACATTTTTTTATTTCTAGAAACCCATCTAGAAAACTTGAAATGCCTTCCTAACAGATACACAAGGAGTTAAAGTTAATTATGTGTTGAAAATTAACTGATGATTCTCCTCGGCCTAGTGGCTAAACTTACATACTCTCACTCTCTCACTCCGGGTTCGAACCTTGGTTCGTTCAAAAAACAATTTTTTTTTTCACTAAAAATCACAATTTGAAACAGCTTACCTTATTAAATCTTAATCCTTATCCCTTAACCCCATTTCATTTTTTAAGTTTAAACTTTCCTACAAATTGGAACACTTTTTTTTATTTCTGGAAACCCATTCAGAAAACTCGAAATGCCTTCCTACATTTTTATGATACACAAGAATGAGTTAAAGTCAATTATATGTTGTCAATTAACAGATGATTCTCCTCCACCAAGCGGCTAAACTTACATACTCTCTCACACTCTCACTCCGGGTTCAAACCTCGGTTGGTTCAACAAAAAAGATTTTTCTTTTTTTTTTTTCTCGTAAACATCACAATTTGAAACAACTTACCTTATTAAATCTCAATCCTTAGCCTTTAACCTCATTTCATTTTTTAAGTTTAAACTTTCATACAAATTGGAACAATTTTTTTAGTTCAATTATTTCTGGAAACCCTTCCAGAAAACTCGTTTTAGAGTTAAGAATTTAGAGGATTACTGGTGTTGAATCTGGGTAATGTGACGATTGATATCCTATTCTGGATACCAACCCAGAAAATCCAAGTTCTTTCCAAAGTTTTTAATCTCATTTCATTTTTCTTTCTAGTTTAAGAAAGATAAACACTTATATTCAACTATTCTGGAAACCTATTAGTTGTAGTGATCATTCATTACAAACTTATACTTGTCCAAGTAACATAAAACTTCTTCAATAACAATCAAAATGATAAAAACGTTGTAGTGATCATTCATTACAAACTTCTACTTGTCCAAGTAACATAAAAGTGTCACATAATATCCTAGATATCCTGAAAATTCTTCAATAACATAAACGTTGTAGTAACATAAAAGTTCAAAATCATAGTATGAAACAGAACGAGTGTGACATTTTTCACTTCTTGAAAATCTTTATCCATAAACTGGTCAAAGATCTCACAACATAGCTTGCTTCGTAAGTCCATCGCAGTATCATCATTTATATTGGCCATTCTCTTCAATCTTAATGATCTGCATTCCAACATCTTGACAACAAAGATACCACAGTTGAAGAGAAATTTTGTCTTTAGAAGCCCTTCTGCAATCTTAACTTCAAATGGATCGATATCTTTGAAATTAACCTCTTCACCGAGAAGTTCCATCTGTATGGCACGAATCAACACTGTCACAAATACCTAAAATTATACAACTTATTTTTCTACAATAAATGATAAAATTAATCAATCACAAAGAATTTTTACCTGCCAGTTTTTGGATTTTAATAATGTCATATTTGATATTACTTTTGGA